TAGTTCAAAGTAGCAATAGGAATCTGAGTGTTGTTACCATCTCTGCAAAGTCTTACTTCATCAGAAAACTGAAAGGCATAAATATATAGAAAGGAACTGTGACATAAATGGGAAGGGGGAATCAAATAGAAAAATCACTCAGCAATTTGCAAAGTCCTGAGTAGAAAAGTCAATTATTTGAAAAACAAGTATCTTATATTCAAATGAAATCATTGCTCCCACGTCCCAGTTGGACAAATATCTCCAGAAAGTCTTTTTAATATTATTTCAAAGCAATTTCATGTGTTTTTTATTAGCCTAAACTTCATAATTACAAACTTATCTCCTTTTGAATTTTATATGTTCTTAAAAGACTTGTGGCAAATAGTCCTTATAAAAAGCAAATCAAAGACTATAATAAAGAATTTCAGTTAGGAAACAGGAGACTATAAAACAATATGTATGTAACTATAGATATATACACATACTATTTTTTTTTTCCTTTAGTACCAGGAATCAAACTCAGGATCTTGCACTTGCCAGGCAGGTGCTTATGTCACTGAGCTATAGCCTTGGCCCCACACATACTACTACAGTGGCAGAGGAAATACATAAGCACTGCATCTATGCATAGATACTTAAATTAAATTTAGATGATAGATGTTATTAATTTTAAGTACTTGGTTTCAGTATTTTACATCTTATTTACTAATTATCAAATTAGTCTTTACTCAAAATCTATTAAGTGCCTAGTAGTAATTACTACATCTAATTTCTCTCATTTAATCCTCATGTAAACTTTTCAAGTAGATACTATTTGTACCACTAGTTACAAATAAAAAATTAATGCACGGAGTTTTAGTGACTTGCTCAAGGCCATACAGCTCATAGTTGGCAGAACTAGATTTGAAATCAATCCCTGTGCTAGTCATGAGGCTATCACTTGAAGGGTACAAGGCATAGTTTCTGTCCACAAGAGCTATAGTTCCTCGGAGAAGATTCATATAAATCTATTAAGCAGCAACTTAAGAAATGAATGGATGTAATACATGATATAACACACCTCTCTATATTGATGTTAACCTAAGGGCACATCATTCTTAGAATCTCTTATTTTTAAAATCAATAAATAAAGAGAAGGGGTTATAAAAGAAGATATGAGTTAGGTGAAATGACTGGATCCACCTTTATGATTTGAGAAACAGGGGAGGTCTCTACCAGCCCAGAAATGCTACTATCACTTAACATGAAATGTCTACTATTTTTACTTTAATACAAAAGAAAAAAAAACTGCTTTCTACAGAAGTCCAGTATAACATGGGGGAATACACTCACCACAAGGGTTAAAATATTTACATTAGCATGTTCATATGGGGAAGCACAATAATCAGGCTGAGTTGATCAGATTAGCTCTCATTCACCTAAAAAAAAAAAAAAAAACCTCAGACACAGAGACCCAAGGAGATGGAGTGGTGAGAAGTGACAAACTGTAAATGTAAATCTCTGCGAGGGTAAGCAGCATGCCATGTGACAGCCTCCTGGAGCACATCATACATAGAATCTTGCTTTCCAACAGTAGTGAAGGCGAAGTCTGAATTAGCCTGCTGAGTGGTTTTGTTGGCTTCAGCCATCCCAACATGCACTATGTTTCTGATTCTACTACAGTTGGCTTACTACCATTAATATCTTCCATGGAGCAAAGGAATGACTGAGGAACTGGTCAAGGAAATAATAGGCATTTGCATTATCTAACATAAAGGAAAATTTGGGCCTATATTTTTGAAAGACTCTCAGTGGCATCCCAGGAATATGGGTCCAGAAGCAGGAATAGAACTAGTGAAGAGTAGAAACCATTAGTTCTACATAAGCTTCATTTCCTAAACTGAAATGCTTACAGGATGTGTCATCCCTGAAAAATTGGGACACTTCAGAGTTTTAGTAATTAAGAAAAGAGCATGGTATGAAGGCACAGAACAACATCTGCGGGGTTTAATTTATTCTTAAAAGACAGAGCCAAGAAGTATGTACTGAATCACATCCCCCTCACCCTTGTCCACACACATAAAGTTCATATGATGATGTTGTAAACACCCATGTGACATATTTAGAAATAAGACCTTTACAGAAGTTATTAAGCCTGAATGAGGCCATAAGGATATAGCCCTGATCACATAGGATTAGTGTACTTATGGGAAGAGATGCCAAGGAGCTTGTTCTCCCCTACCGTGTGGAAACACAATCAGAAGGGGGCTATTTGCAAGCCAGGAAGAGAGCTGGCACCTGCAACTGACCGAGCTGGATTTTAAGCTATAGCATGAGGAAAAAATTCCTGTTGTTTAAGCCAGAGTCTGTGGTAGTTTGTTACAGTCACCATAACAGACACCAGGCAACTGTGTCTATTTGCAATTTATGTCACATAAAATATAGAAGAAAGTTTGAAAGACTGAAGTGTATATTTTCAAAGATATGCATCATGCTAAGGATATGTTAGTATAAAAATGACTAGACAACAACAGACTAAGAAACATCCTTGGTTTTAGAAATTCCCATTAAAGAGTTCTGAAGCTATAGAATTGTCATTTTAATTCTATTTTTAAAAATAAAATATCGTTCTTTGAAGTTCAGAATTAACACTTTTAAATGCTTGCTGAGTCCATAAATGAAATATCTCATGTACAAATCTCCACACGAATCTCAGTGTAAAAATACCATCCTTCTACCACACATACAAAAGCAGTTCTTGGGGCCGGGAGATAGCTCAGTAGAATAAGCGCTTGCCTGGCAAGCGCAAGGGCCTGAGTTCAATCCCCGTTTCCACCAAAAAAAAAAAAAAAAAAAAAAAAAAAAAAAAAAGAATCCCAAAAGCAGTTCTAAAGAACAATTCCTTGTTAAAACAAGGAAATACATAATTTTTTACATAATTGATGCATATTTCTTATTACATTTGTTTTTGTAAATAATCAGGCACAGAACTGATGAAAAATTCTCAATCAGTTCATATGACTAGCAGAAACCATCTGCAGAGAAAGTCATTTTGTATTTTATATTGCTGAAGATCACCGTCATTCATTTGGAATTAACTGAAATAAAAAGGCTTCCCCTTTATATTCAGTATAAAGTAAGAAAGTTTAATCTAAAACAGAAATAGATCATTCAAATAAGTACCATCTCTAGGTATGTAGGGACATGCTGACTTGTTTATTACCATAGTCTCATATTGGTTTTAATGCATATGAAAAAATTAAATTGGCTTATTTCATCAATGCATTCATTTATTAAACATTTTATTGAAAAACCAATGATGCAGCAGAAAAATAAGGATTTTAAACATTTGAAGAGTCAGAGATTTTAAGTCTGTCCATATGTCCATGAGTTACTTTATCCGTAAGACCCTAACAGCACTGAAAAGCAAGTAAAATAGTTTTGTAGGATTTTAAAATAATGTGTATAAAGTACCCATCATGTAGTTGCTCTCAAAATGTTGCTATTGTCATTTATAAAATATTTAATGATACTTAATGTGATACAATTACAAGAAGATTGCATGTAGAAATCTGTCCTCAAGGAATTTGTCATAGTGGAGGAAAATCATGTAACAGTACATATTAAAATTTATTGTACATGCTAGAAAAGAAGTCAATCTAGAGTACACTGGAAAGCTGATCCCACTAATTGAAAATGTACCAATAAAATACAACAGTCTCAGCAGCAAAGTACTTCTTTAGGAGTACTGAGAGTGTACAAAGCAATTCTAAACTAGATATTCTAATTAGAATACTTTGGTAACTTTGACATATTAACAGTTGTCATTACAGCACGGTGTAAACAAAGATGATGACAATAGACAAGCAGGATCACTTATATTCATCTCATTTTATTTCTTGATAACTACTGCACCATATTTGGAAGTATTTTAAGGAGAAAGGTTAAGAACGTTATCACATTTAAGTCATTATTTTAATTAATATTAAAATCCTAAATTAAGAAAAAATTAAAACCCTAATGGGAGAATTTGTATTTTACACTGTATTTCTTGCCAAATTACCTATACACTTTTTCTTTTGAAAGGTTTGGTAATGCCCTTTTAAACAATATTCTCTCAAAAGTCACCAAAATATATTTTTACATAATGCTGATTTTATTAATTATCTAAAAGAGGAACAACACCACAGATTTTAATAATTATGTAAGATGGAAGATACAGGAACTCTTGTGAATCACAGTAAGTTTTGGTGAGGGTAGCAGCTTTTTCTTTATAAAATTTGTATCAGTCATGTCTACAGTACATAAGAGTTACGTTCGCTGTGGGAGATGGCTCACGAACACAGCACAACTCAGTTCTCACACTCATGCCCTCCTTTCCCCAGCCCTTCCCTAAGCTCCCTTTCTCTTCCCTGCATCTGTCATTCTTCTCATTTGCAAAAGATCTGCCTCTGTGTTCTATTATCCGTCTTTTCTTTTGCTCTTGATTTATTTCTAATTTGGGTTTCTTACATAAGAAGAATTATGTAATATTTTAACTTGTGGGTCTGATTTATTTCTTCAAACATTATGATACCAAGGTGCTTCCTTTTTTTCTAAAAATGGCTCAATTTTATCCTTTATAACAGAGTAGTACTCCATTGTACATACATACCACATTTTCTTTACAAACTCATGTTAGTGGACATATAGGCCACTTACAAGATCTAGGTATTGTGAATTGTTTGGCAGAAGTTTTTCCTGTGTTCTTGCCTTTATCACCAACTTCCAATCACACAGAGACACGATTACCTCATCTGTAATAATACTATTGTTTTAAATTTTGAAAGCTAAAGCAGAATTGAAAGTTTTAAACACTAATAATATCATTGCCAGCCAAATGCTGATTTTTAAATTATAGATATATTGTATATGCATATATAAAAGTTACTCTTTCAAGTTTATCCAACAGACATGTAGAAAACTTATTGTGTAAGGAACTAAGCAACTTACACATACTAATTCAATTGTTTTTAATAATTTTCATCCTATAGATTGTGTCAGATTCAGTCCCTAAAATGGAAGAAGCCAAAAGCCAAAGTTTGGAGGAAGATTTCGAAGGACAGGCCACACATACAGGTAAATAAAGATAGAAGACACAATACCTATAAAATTAAGATTCAATTTAGAAATACCTAATGCCCTTACTGGTGATATTTATTTTGAATTTAAGCCATATCTTCATGGGTAATACAGAATAATCTAAAAAATACTTTACTGTCTAAAATAATTAAAATTGAAATAACTCATAAAAGTTTTATCTTAATGTCAAAGAGTGAGAAGAAATAATAATTATTGGTAACTTCTTGCTACCCACTATAGGATGTCTGTCTACCTGTCTGTTTATTTATCCATCCACCTGTGATATAAATAAGCCACTTACACTCTTGCCAACCAATTAAATTTTTTTTGGAACACTATTCTCTTAATCTGTTAAACTGTAGGTGGCTATCTATATTTTTCTGAGTTTAAGAGTTACACTGATATAAGTTTTAAAACGAGTTTCTTTTAATATTGTTGTATCTTATTGGACTAGTAATTCCTTCTGTCTTTTAACAGCCTTTAAATTTAGCCCAGAAGTTTAAGTTTATATAATACTAGTACTAAACAAAATGCATAGGAATTCATTATACAATGAATTTATGAGGAATATCTAAGTATTACTTAAAATCTTTTTAAAAAGAACAATTAATAAAAATCAATGGAAGGAAGGACATGAAGAAAAGAGGAAAAAATAACAAAGAAGGGGAATGAAAAACAAACGAAGTATCTGTTGTCTGGTAAGAGTTACCAAGAACAAATTTTTTAAAAAACAAAAATAATTAATAAATTGCAAAAAAAATTGCAAATCAATAGATAAAGAGCTTATGTCTTTTTTTTTTAAGAGCTCATGTCTTAATATACTAAAAGCTTCTACACATTCATCAGAGTAAAATCAACACTCAAACAAGATAAGAGGCAAAGATTAAATGAGCTATTCATTCTGGGGGTGAGGTGTAAAAAAAAAAAAGTTAAGTATTAACTTTGGTAAAATACATTTTTTTTTCCCTCACACATTCCAAAGAGGAATTAGATACATTCATACACTGCTGACAAGAAAGTAAACTGAAAAAAAAAAAGTCTGTAGGCCCATTCTAACATCAAAGTTAGAACTTTATACACCTTTTGACCAAATAACTTTATTTACATAACCACTATACAAGACTGTGCAGATAGGGAAAAATATATACAAAGCTCTTTATTCAGTATCATATGTCGCATAAAATAAACAAATAGTGCACAATTTTAAGGAACTGTTAAAGTATATACATCTCTACAAAAGAATACTATTCCATTTTATGTATGTAGGTATGTATGTATGTATTTAATTGTATTTTAGTGAGTCGCCTGTTCACAGCCTCCCAAGAGCTGGGATTACAGGTGCGTGCCAACACATCCAGTCTCAATCCGGTGCTGGCGGGGATCAAACCCCCCCATCCCCTGCGCCTGCTTGCAAACGCTTTAATCCAGTGAGCTATTTGGCCGGCCCTCCTTTTTTTTTTTTTTTTTTTTTTTAAAGAAGAGCCTTTCAATGAATGTGAAAAACATCTCCAAGGTATATTATGAAGAGCAAATAATGTAAAGAAGAATGTGTATTGTAGCCCACCTTTTGAAGAAAGCAAGAGGAAAACATATTTTCTTTTTTACCCACGTATATATTTTGCACATGCATAAAATATCTGGAAGATGAAGACTGCACAAGAAAATTAAAAACACTGATTAACTAAATATAATATAAAGTTATAACAAGTTTATCTTAAATGTATATCTCATACATTATATAAATAGACAATATGAGGAAGAAAATGAACACTGTATTGGTCACACTTCCATGGAACACAAAATCCTACCTACAGACTAAAGGAGGAAAGGTTTAATTCAGCTCATGGTTTCCTGAGATTCGGTATGTGGGTGGCTGGCTCCAAGGAAGAAACCTCACGACCGAAGGGTGCGGTAGGGCAAAGCTGCTTGATCCCTGGCTGCAAGAAAGCATATCGGGGCGACAGTGCCAGAGCAGAGGGGTGCGGGGCCACACCCCGACCTCAAGGCCACCCCTCCACGACCCACCAGGCGTACCTAGAAGTATGTGCCACCAATCTTCCAAGCAGATTATGAAGTTCATAAATCGCAAATCCACCTTAACTGCTGCATCACAGAATATAATTTTTTCCATAGAATATAATATTAAAAGTCTGGAAAGACTAAGTTTTGGTAAGAGATCATCAGTTTAATATTACATGTATTCAGGCGCAGGGGCCGGGGTTTTGATCCCCGGGCCTGCCATGCTGGCCCCGCTCTGGGGGCACGCTGGGACGGCAATTGAGACTGGGCGTGGTGGCAAGCGCCTGTAATCCCAGCTCTTGGAAGGCTGTAAACAGGAGGATCACTACGAATCCGATCTAGTAGTGAGACCCTGAACACCCTATAGACCCCTCCCTAAAAATTATATATATATATATATATATATATATATATATATATATATATATATATATCTCACATGTATTCAAGAATTTAAAATTTTCCTCTAAGCACTTTTATTTTTCAGAGCAACTGAACAGAGTAGAGTTCAGGTTGGATCATCTTTGATTTAGCTACTGAAATTTTTGCTTAGATACGTTTTGGGCTGGGTGAATACCTCAGTGATCTAAGTGCCTGCCTGGCAAGTGCAAGGACCTGGGTTTGATCCCTGGTACCACATGAAGTGCCAGCCCCAGAGGCTACCAAAACCAGGCATGGTGGTGCATGCCTGTAATCCCAGCACTGGAGAGGCTGAGATAGGAGAATCACTACAGGTCCAAGCTACGTAGTGAGACCCTGTATCAAATAAATAAATACACAAAAGATTCTTAAAATCTCACATGGAACTGATGGATATGGAATCATTTTCTTAAAGGCATTTTAGTTTTGTTAATTGAGATCAGGCCCTTTCATTGTCTTTTACTGCTATGGTTGCTTCCCCAACACTTATGAGTTTATTGATAAGTTTCTTTCTCATGTAACAAAAGTGGTAATTTTATTACAGCTTTTAATATATTCTAGTTTTAATGTCTTTACCCCAAACTTTTGCTAATAGCACAATATTTTAATTAACACAAATGTTGAAGAAGGATTCTTTGCCAAAACCCACTCAACAAGATTAAACTGGGAGAATACATTCACAAAGAGAACAGTAGGGCATTTCTAGTTCCAATAAAATGTTTGTTTCTCACGCAGATGACAAGTCTTCTCAAGGCAATACATACACAAATTTCAATTGTGCAAAACATACTTTTAGAAATAAAGAGAGAAACAATTTTTAAAACTTTATTCCAGGGCCCAAAGGAGTAATAAATGACTGGAGAAAGTTTAAATTAGAAAGTGAAGATAGTGAATCAATTCCACCTAGCAAGAAGGAGATCCTCAGGCAAATGTCTTCTCCTCAAAGTAGAGATGACAAAGATTCAAAAGTCCACAGAAAGGTAAGACAAGCAAAAAATTAGCAATGGAGAGTTTACAATATGTTTTGTAGTCTAAGTCACTCTAAATACGTAAACAGCATTACAGTATTATCCAATAATCTGTGGTGATGTGTGCTTGTAATTACAGAACTCTGAGAGGTTGAGGCAGAAAGATCACAAATTTGAGCCATTCTGGACAGTTTAGCTATTTACCAAGACACTGTCTCAAAAGGAAAAATAAAAAAAGGGTTGGAAAATTTACTTAGAACAAAGACCGTACATTTGATCCCAAGTACCATAAAAAGAAAAATACTACAAAACATATTTATTACAGTATAGTTTGTACTGGCAAAGAAAAGTGGAAATGAAATGAATGCTTACTAAGGTATTGTGTACTCAGTGAAATATGCAGGTTGAAGGAACAAGTTACAAATACATTAATTGACTTAAGGAATATTTTCACAGTGTGAGAAAACAAAATATAATTTTAAATTAGATAAATGATTCTATTTTCTAGAGCAGTGAAAAAGACATTTCTGTATATTTGTTTGTTTGTTGTTCTGAGAGTAGGAAAATTTATTGAAGAAAAGAAATGGGGAATATGAATAGCTCCTGAGAGATTGGAGGTCCCAAAAGGGCTGTCCTATTTTTGTGTATTTGTATGCATACATGACCATAAGAAAATGAGTCTGTATAGAGACATGAGTTGACAATATTAGTAATCTGGAAGGATATATGTTGGGAAAAGAAATAAAAAGCAGAAAAATTCCTATTTTTTAAAAAAGATTTTCATACTGCTCTTAAAAAGTACGTTTTTTGATCCTCAGCATGCCATGCTGGCCCCGCCCCCAGGGCATGCTGAGACAGCGATTGAGACTGGGCATGGTGGTACATGCCTGTATTCTCAGCACTTGGGAGGCTGAAAACAGGAGGATCACTATGAGTCTGATCTGTGTAGTGAGACCCTGTGGACCCTGTACTAAATACATTTTTAAAAATTATTTTTTAAGATCTCTTATTTAAATTGTGTAATATGTGTATCACCTCTAAAATGTTAAAAAAAAGTATTTGGGTGTTAAAGTGGTGGAATTTCAGTACTATTTCCTTTCCTTAGCTTTTAGGTCATTTTTTGAATCATCATAATTAGCATTTATTATTTAGATAACAAAGATAATAATAGAATCATGAAGTGATTCTCATTTGTGGAGAAAAAATCATTTCACTGGATTATTGATCTACAAATTAGTATATAAGTACCATATGCTGAGTCTCAACAGACATATTATCAAATCAGAATTATGCCATAATCCAAGGCTTCTTCTGGTCATGGCAATGATCTTCAAGTCTAAGATTTCTGGTAGTTGGAGGGAAAGATTCCTTCATTTAGTCACTATGTAATGTACATGACACAATTAAATTTTCCATTTGAGAAATTATAAACACTCATCTTCTACTTGTTTTGAACAAATGTGAAGAAAAAATAAACATGAAAGTGTTTTGAACTACAAAATACTAAGCATATGTGAGACATTATTAAAAATGTTGTGCTAAAGGTAGTCTCTGATAAGTATCTTAATGCCTAAGTATATAAATATTCTGAATATGTGAAGAGAACAGGTTCTCATATGAATGCTTAAATGTATTTTCAAATCACTAGTTGTGTATTTGTCTTATTAAATTAACAAGAGGATGGCAGCAACCTAAGGATTACACAAAACATAACTTTTAGGGCCAAAAGGGGTTTAAATTAAATTGGAACAGACTGGGAATGGTGGAGTGCACCTGTAATCCCAGCTCTTGGGAGGCTGTAAACATGTGGATCACTACGAGTCCAATCTAGTAGTGAGATCCTGAACACCCTGTAGACCCTTCCCTAAAATACAAAATAAATAAATAGAATTGGGACAATAATGTTGATAGAAAAATATAGGCTTTAAAATAATGAAAACAATTATGATGTAGAAAAAAGGAAAATGATAAAAACATTAAGTATGTATACTTACATTGAATTTCTGTATCTTTTTATGGAATTGACACTAATGTATCTGTCTCAGAGGTCTGTTGTTAAGATTAAGTAATATAATATATTCAAGATGCCTTAGACATGATAGATTTTCAATAAATTAGTTTCTTGAGTTTTTACCCACCTCTAAAAATTGTTGCTGTTTGAATGGTCACACAACCATAAGATAGCAGTAGATGTATCCCATTTCAACTTCTATAGTTGTGGGGTGCTCCGTAAGTAATGGTGTCTCATATGGCAAATGTTCCAATGTTCCTTTGTTGTGTGTTTCATTCTGTTTTAGTTGGAGCACTGCTAAAAATTTTACTTAATACATCAATAATGAAGTAGATGTTATAAAGTGCTATTATCTTGTATTTTAGCCATAATTAAACATAGTGGTCTCCATTTTCTGTTGACTTATAAAAAAAAGAGGTTTGTACCTATGTAAAAAATAAATAAATAAATAAATAAATAAATAAATAAACATAGTGGTCTTGGAAGATGGAATTTAGGTCTTTCCTCATGAAAGTTTAAACCAGAGGGTAAGAATAACCTAGAGGGCATTTGAAAACCTGGATCACTCAGCGCTCGCAGGCTCTGATTCCGCATATCTGGTGGTGTCTGAAAATCTTTTTATCCTACAAGTTCTCAGGGGATGTTGATGCTGCTCCAGCCATTATTAACCATTATGAACTCATATTAATAGTGACTGCATCTTTTAAATTTTATCCTACATATTACAAAATTGTAAAACACAAGATCTTAATAGCTTTTGTGCAGGGAACACTAATGTCTAGAAGCACTGTCAGGGAAACGTGTGTGTGTGTGTGTGTGTGTGTGTGTACATGCATGCCTAGTATTTTTTTTCTTTTTGAAGAAAGCAACTCTGGAACAAAAATCCAACATACATTTCTGACTAAATGACCACTATAATTTCTTTCATATATTCTCAGATAAGCATACAAGAATATGAACTTATCAATCAAGACAAAGAAGATGAAAACTGTCTTCGTAAATATCGAAGACAGTGCATGCAAGATATGCATCAGAAGCTCAGTTTTGGGCCTAGATATGGGTTTGTGTATGAGCTAGAAACTGGGGAGCAGTTTCTAGAAACAATTGAAAAGGAGCAGAAGATCACCACAATTGTTGTTCACATTTATGAAGACGGCGTGAAGGGCTGTGATGCCCTAAACAGTAGCTTAACCTTCCTTGCAACAGAGTACCCTATGGTCAAATTTTGTAAGATAAAAGCTTCCAATACGGGTGCCGGAGACCGCTTTTCCTTACAGGTGCTTCCCACACTGCTCGTCTACAAAGGCGGGGAACTCATAAGCAATTTTATTAGTGTTGCTGAACAGTTTGCAGAAGAATTTTTTGCTGGGGATGTGGAGTCTTTCCTAAATGAATATGGATTACTACCAGAAAAAGAAATGCATGCCATTGAGGATACCAACATGGAAGAAGACATTGAATAAAGAGTCACTAGACAATTATCTCATATTTATCCTTTACACATTGAACATCAATTTGGGTAGTATCCATATTCCTTTAGAGGATATTAAATATGTACATGATTATTGTAATTGGAAAAAAAGACTGACACTCAAGTTGTGTCATTAGCAATCTTAGTATTAGTTATTCAAATTCATAGAATGCTTTACTACAAAAACACTGTAGGGCTTAGCAATTATTGTTAAACAAAAAGGATGGGAATAATACCTGTACTTTGTTTTTCAAAATCGCTTTCATGTTGTTAGCTTTTTCATTTTTTCCCCTAGTGTTAGCATTTTTGTCCTTTCCAAACTAGAATGTTAACTGTAATTTTGCTTCTGTAACAAGAATAAAATATGAGAAACTAAATTTTTTATATGAAGTATACTGTTCCTTAAATGTTAGTTACATTATCAAGTTCCTTAAAACCTTATAAGGCTCACAATGCAAAAAGTTTTCATTCAGTAAAATATCTTGTATTCTAATCACATCAATAAAAAGGAAACTCAGAACATTGTGCCACATTTATACTCTAAAAAATGTAGTTTGTATTAAAAAGGCAGGAACCCTGAAAGCAAGGTTGTAGGTCTCTAGATGAAAAAGTAACATGTAGCAGTCGTAGTAGTAGTAATAATAAATCCAGCTGTCATTCAGTGATTGCCAATCGTTAGCTGGTATTTTACACATAGCAGTTCTGATTAGTAACCATAAATCTTCATGTCAATAGTATAATTCCTATTTTCAAAACAATGAAGCAGCCAGGGAAATAGCTCAGCAGCATACCGCTTGTGTGGCAACCCCAGCAAGAACAAGATTTTGGTTCAATCCTGGTACCAAATCAATCAATCAATCAATCAATCAATCAATCAATCAAAGTTGATTCAGAGAAATGATGTACACGCTATATACTTATTTTCTTTGCAAATATATGGGATTCTGTTCTCCTAGACAAACACATGGAAGTACAAAATAAAGTATAATTTTAAAATGTTTTTAAGAGTACAAATTATCTAATGAAAAAAATTTGTAGATATCTGACTCAGAAAAATACTGCTAAGCGAAAGCTGGAGCAACATGATCCATAACTAAAGGCATGGTACTCAACAAATACCCAGAAATGAGGTCTCTGGCATATGTGTGTTTAAAGCAGTTTGGCACGTTTGTCCCTGGCAGCCTAATGCTGAAACCAGCCATGTGTCACACATTTTAGCCTCTATTTTTAAGTGACTATTTCACAGCTTCTGTTCCTTCTATAAGCCTTTTATATCCCTTTCTCCCACTCCAAATACTTCATCTTGCTCATACTTCATTGAAAAAACAGAAGTTACAAGATGAGGCCTACCCCATCTTTTCATTACCAGGTTAAAATGTTCATAAATAATGCTTCTCCTGAGGTTATGAGGAAGAAGTATCTATGCACCTGTCTCTTGTCAATTACCCAAGCTATGCTGTGGATTCTATTTTTTCACCTATGCAATAATTTTTGTTTTCACCTATATAGTAATATTTTGCAGTTATTCTATTCCTCACTGCATCTAGTTCTCCCTTTATATTGTATTATTTATATTGTCTTCAAAATGAGTTTTTAAAATTCCCCACCATTTAAAATATTCTCATTCATAATGTAACATTTCCAGATACTTGTCTGATTTTCTTTGTAATTATGTATGTAAAAAAAGGTATCTACAGTCATTTTTTTTTTTTCACTTTATGTATTTGGTACAGGGTCTCACTATGCAGCTTGGACTCATAGTAATCTTCCTGTTTTCAGCCTCTTCAGTGCTGGGATTACGGGCATGTGCCACCATTCCTGGACTCTTGTCACTGATTCAGCGCATCCCAGGAGTGGGGCTGGTACAGCATGCAGGCCCAGGGATCAAATCCTGGTCACTGCACTTGCCAAAGCAGGCGCTTAGTCCACTGAGCTATCTCACCAGCCCTTGAAAGTCATCATCTTTACCCCTCATTTTCTTAGTTTTCTTCATCTCACTCCAATCAGGATTTTGTCCCTAACACTTTATAATCTTGTCACATTTCATGGCTAACTCTTTAAAAAAAACAACTGTATTTCAGGCTGCGCTTCTAATCATGGCAATCTTTCTGCCTCAGCCTCCCAAGTGTAGGGATTAAGGCATACATCACCACACCCTACTCTTCATGGCTAATTCTTATCTTTATTCTGTCTTCCATAAGCATGTCTCAAGATCTCACTACATCCTGCTTTCTTGAGTCCCTTGTGGCTTTTACTGCACACTGTGTGTCTGCCTACCATGCTGTTTCTTCAAAGTCCATCACTAATTTCTTCAAACCCTCACTCTAGGAAACCTCCTCCAGCCCTTAGTCTTTGAACTATCACTTAAATTCAGTCTATTCTCAAATTTAGCTTTATGTCCTTCTTGGGCTCCAAAATCCAGTATTTCCACTGAATGAATAGAGAAAAGTAATAAAGGAAGAATGAGAGAGAAAAAAAAGGTCTGCTGTTGGTACTATATATTAATGAAACCCAGATGAGTAAGACTTTTTTACTTAGACCAAATCACAATGACCACTCACTCACGGATTACTGGTTTTGTAAATGTATCTAAAATCCCAAATCCTTATTTCTGTTTATAAACTAAAAAAGGGTGTTTAAATCCCTATTGGCTATTTCTTTTTTTTTTTTTTTTGGGGGAACCGGGGATTGAACTCAGGCCTTTGCACTTGCCAGGGAAGTGCTTATTCCACTGAGCCATCTCCCTGGCCCCTCCACTGGCTATTTCTAAGCTGATGAGCAATAAGCATATCACATGGAGAAAAAGTGCTAGGAGGGAGGCATGCAGGATAATTATGTAAGGAGCTTTTTAAAAATAGTTCAACATGATTTCTCCTTTCAAGCAAAGGCTAGGAAATGTATCTCAGTTCTCTGCAAAGGAATTACTAGGCTTAAAACCTACAGCAAAATATCAGATACTTGCATAATATATTTATAATTCAAGAATTTCCTTAGTATAATAGCTTTTTAGATTGACACTAATCCCATGGACTGGACGTACATAAACAAATGATGGCAAGCCAGTGAACAAGGGTAACCAAATATTTTTTCAAAAGAAAAACAGTATTAACAAAATAAAATATAAACTCTTTTCAATCGCTAGTCAGTGTTAATTACAATGTAATGCTGTGTTGCTTGCTAAAGGCAGAAAAGACAACACCAAAAGAAAACTCTCATCTATGTAAAGCATGATACATAAAAAAATGATTTGAGATTCCTGTTCAATAAAAGCTTTACTCTTGTAAGAAATGTCCCACCATACTTTAATTTAAAACAGAGAGTTAGCAAGCTTCAGCAAGACTAAGCCCAGGAAATGTATTTAACCCATAATTGCCAAAACAAAAGTAACTAGGTGGCACCTGCGTAGACAGTGAGTGATGATAGCAACCACTCTCAAAATAAGCACTTGGTGACTCAGGGCTGTCAGGGTGAAGCGTTGATGGAAACACTCATCAGGAAGAGTTGCACAAAAGGCAGGATTTGACTAGAATATTCGAGTCTGCTGCTGCAGAAATAAGATTACAAGCTCTCCTCATGTAAACACTTAAGCTCATATTTTGTTTGGTAGAAGAGACCATTTTTATCTCAGCAAAAAGATGAATTTTTAAATGTAAATGTTTAAAATGTCTCACAACAAACCACTCAAATAATAATGTGCAAAAAAAATCCAATAAAATGTTGAAAGGCAGTAAGAAAATTGGTAAGAACAGCAAAATTACCCTGTAAATTGAGAAGCTCATTTGTTGTCAAAATATTCATTGATAATCTTCTATTTGCCATGTACTGTCCTTGGTATCAGATCACCTTTATAAGCAAGAGATGCTAAAGGCATCTGCTTGTTTGGGTGTAGATTGTGCTGATAAATTATCTTGAGCACCAGTGTAGGCTCCTCACTCTGAATTCACTCACTCATTTTTTGACATTGGGAAAATTAACTTTCCTCTACATATGTAGTTTTCTTCTGTGAAATGATGACAACAGAAGTGCATCCTTGCTGTGTTGTTGCCAAGGGAAAAGAGCAAATCATGTATCTTTTTAGCACAGTGCCTGACAAACACTATTCAGATGGTAGTACTTATCTATTTATTCATTTATATTTATCTACTGTACTGGGAATTGAATCCAGAGCTTTCACATAGGGCTACATGCCCTTTAAAAATTGTATTTAAAATGGGGTCTCACCAATTTGCCTGCTCTGAACTCAAATTTATGATCCTCTTGGTTTGGCCCTCCAGAATGTTAGGATTACAAACATATGTCATAATGACTGAATAGTGCTTATTATAATAGACATATACAAAGCACAATGGTGCAAAAAATACATAAATATAAGACATTAAAGAAATATTTGTGTAAACAGAAGCTAATTATGAAGAAGACAGAACTCAATTAATCTGCACCATCTTTCTCCATCTGTGATGGGGAACCTGTTAGAAACTTCAGTGACAATGAACAGCCCACTGTGGAACATGTGCCACAGGTTTACCCCCACTGATATACATCACTCACATCCCTCTAGATAAAAAATTTATTAGATATTTTATGTACAATATTTCAATCGAAAAACAAATGTCTTTCTAAACATTTTATGACAAAATGCTCTTAAAAACTATTTCATAAGACCAGGTATCACATACTGGACTATATTATTTCTGTGTCCATTCCCCATTCATAAAGTTGGAACACATTCACAGCTAGCTTGTTTTAAACTCACTAGCTCCAAAACAATAATTCATTTTAAAGGGTTTCATTTGTTTCTTGCTGACACCACAATATTATTTCCCCTACAGGGTTCCTGGTTTAACAAATTAGATTCACTTTAAACAGTCAATGATGATTACACATCAAATTAAACTTGCTTAGTAACTTGAATTATAGAGAGTTACATAATGAATTGTGTAAGTCCCACAAAGGTTAGAGAATAAGGCCGTTGCACTACACTGTATTTTTTAC